CCTATAATATGTTTTTCAGGTTTAACAGATACATTGAATTAGTCTGCCTTTTCAATGTGACTGTCTATACATTGATTGGTGGTTGTCAAACCAGGCCCCTATGTTGCTTATGTGTTCAGGAGAAACAGATGAGGAGGGTGGATCTTTTTGTGACACTACAATAAGTGGGTACAAGATCAAACCCATTTCCTTTCCTATGGTGGAAATCCCTATTGCATACTGTTGTACAAACAAATGCTATGTAAACTAGCAATAAGGAAAACAGGTGCTTTTATCTTTTCCTGTAGACTAATAGATGAGATTAGAACATCTTTAACACTAAAATGAATAGAAATCAATGTATTGTTCCTTTATACCCCCAGTAAAATATTAGAAAATAATTTTCTCAGCATAAGTTCAATTTCACAACTCGCTGGTGTCCATAGCTAGAGCATTTCAGCTGATCAAAAGCCACATTGCAGTTCAAAGTTGTCTTGTCATCTTGCCAACCTTTTCTCAAACAAGGCACACATCTTGTCTCCCTGTCTTTAAAAATAGCAATTATGTGTAAATGCTTTATGATTTATTTGAGCTTAGACCACAGACCATTGTGAGGCACCACAATTTATTGCAAGCCGTCACTTTTTACATGATAGGTTTGTAACAAATATCTGCCGCATATTGTTAAATTAATCTTCCATTTAAAATTAATGGAGTTCGACTCCCCAGGTTCAGTGTAATTTCATGTTCACAGGCAGAGAGCAGTGTGCTCTGCATACTCAATAAGCCAAGGCCAAACGCCCTAATCTTTTATCACCTTGAACCAAGTGACTAGGACGCTTTCTCAGCACAGACTAATGAGATAGAGCTTGCTTCCCTCCTGAGGATGCCTGCTCAAAGCAGCTTTTCTGCTCAGATACAGCAAGCTCTGTCTTATTTTAATAATTCCTCAGATATGACAAGTCTGATGTTATGTATGAAAGACTCGGGCTCAGGGGGAGGGAGGAGGCCTTCAGGGGAGGGGTATAGATGATGAATGAATTTTATATCATTACTTCAAAACCAAATCTAGCAAAAGCGTGCAGGCAACCATTAAGGGAAGTGGGGGATAAGAGAAATCATGACATATGCATTAAAAACAGTGATATGCTGCTCAGGCAAGCGGACTACAGACACAGAGCCTTTAGGGGACTGAATAGGGTTATTTTATAGTTAGAACACCTAATGTAATCGCACATTTTTTCTGGACTCATTTGAGAACCAATTAAAATATTGAAGATGAAAGTTAAGTAGCAGAAATCTTTGGGGAATGGGAGTTCCACCTGCCATAGCATAGTCTTATTTAATAGTAAATGTATCGCTTTATATGAGATGAATCATAGGAAAGCAATGTCTAAAGATCCATGTCACATTTTTATCATCTAGGCTGTTTTTTTTCATAACTTAATTTTACATTGTATTTTATTGAGATATATTACTTAGTCTAGTCTGGCTGAATAAAGAACATAGAAAAATCTGTTCTGTCTTTTTCAAGACGGCTCTAGTAATAGCTGTTCCTGAAAGCCGGAGTTACAGATTCCAGATCCATGTCCTAACTGCAGCCACAGACTAAAAGGAAGCTGGAAGTTCTATAATCAGGTAGTATCATAGATAGTAGTGATGATATTCAAGTTTCATTTTTTTTTTTACGTTTTGGACAGAGTAGTTAAAAGTTCAAACCCCTATCAGATTGTTCTTTTTCTTGTTTTTGTTTTCAGTGTCTGATTGTGGAGAGTTCTCTCCACTACCTAGTATCGGAAAGAAACAGTAGATGACAAGAAAGTGAAGAAGATTCCCATCCTAGATAGTTGTCTACATAACATGTTTCCCCATTGGATGTTGAACCCTCAAGCCTTGATGTGTTGGCAACTTTAATAATCTCAGAAAATAACTTTGTTTCACAGTGGCTAGAATTTAGTCAGGGGAGGAGAAGTAGAAAAATGCCAACATGTCAAAAATGGAAAATATCATAGGTAACTAGGTAAGGGTAATCTTGGATCTATAAAGGCACAATAATAACAATTGATAATGAGACACACATTCATTCAGAAGTGTATAAAAGCAGGCCATAGATTATGCCGTTTACTTTACCCATAGTGGAAGGAAATAAAATCGCTCAATTTTTCCATCAACAACAGTCAGTGTTGATGGAGGAATTCCTCCAGCAGTGCTATTGTATTCTGCCGGAAGGGAGAACACAATGATTACTGCTAGCAGCTATAGTCCCCAGCAGTAATGTCATGTAAAACATTCAATAGGCTGGTTGCACCCAAGTTGATTGATGGACTTGGGTATAACCAGCCTGCCCATAGTTGGATCAAATCTCAGCCGGTACCTGCTGAATCTGTTTAAGCAAGGATTCACTGTCACAGATGTTAGATAATGAATGACAGATTATTGAAATTATGATTTAGGGTTAGCAATTAGCCATATAGGCTATAAGGCATGCAGCAGGTCCTAACCTGTCTGTTAAAAATAAATGTTCTTTGATGCATATTAAATCTCCATAAAATGATGTTAAATATTAAAAATTCTGATTGGACCCTCTTCATGTACATTTTGCACAAAAATAGGGTTTTTTTTTGTTCACATACATCACAAAAGATGTTTAAACTGGCAAACTGCATCAAATTAATCCCTGTAGGGTCAGCCTTAATCTGCTCTGCAAAATGCAAATGGTCCAGTAGATATTGTGCCAATGTGGGGCAAATAGACACAGGTTGTTGGGGAGCTTCAGGTCCAGGTCTGATCACTAACCTGCACAATGCAATAAAAATAAGGTATACCTCTGCTGAAATCCAAATAGTTTATATATATTTATAACCCACCAAGTGCAAAAGAGGTATGAACCCCCTAAATATTCTGAGTAGATCCTCTGCATACTGCTATACACCCTTTCTAGCAAACTTTGATTTACCATTTGGGAACCAGTTATGACAGTTGCTTCTAGGTAGAGGGGAGGTAGTCAAGTGAACACCAATGCGCTCACCTCCCCTTCTTCTTGCTGACCCAGAAGTGACATGTAAAAGGTCCCTTCCAGGTCCCCTTTTCACTTTCCCTAGCCTGCATGACTGGGAAAGAATCTAATACGTCATCATATAGGGGAATATTTGCCCCCTATGCAATGAAAAAAGTTATGGAAAATAAAAAATTGGTCTTTTAAGGATACCTTATCCACAGGAATGGTACTAACCGATTGGTGTAAAGCAAATGTGGTACCAATATTAAAAAAAAAAAAGGTTGGATATATATACCAGGAAATTGTAAACCAGCCAGATGAAGGGATAAGTTCACTTTTTATAAAAAATAATAAATGCATATCTTTTTCAGTTAAAAAAGTGCATTTATTATTTTTTTTTACATTGGAGCCTGTAAAGCATCTGCAGATCACGGGTGCATTGCCAGGATCCTGCAGACTCTCAGTCAGTTGTCTGCCTATACCTGTATGGACAGACAATTACTGAATAGCAAGAAGATTTAATGAACTATGAGAGCATTTACCAGTACCCTCATAGTTCATTGAGACCTACAGTATCAGCCGTCAGCCAAAGCGGATCTGTGGTTCTTTAGTAGTTCATTAATTCACAGAACTCTGTGAATGAATGAATGATGTGGCTGTGTGGCTGGAACCCTGCATGGCCACACTGTTTTAAAATTGTGACAGCAGGGTCAGAGAGAGGTAGAGGAGACAGGAGCTGGATCATTTTACATGTTTCACCCTAAATACGGGTGACACATGTAACATGTTCCAAAGGTGAACTTATCCTTTAACATCAATAGTATAGAAATTATTTCAGGGAATATTAAGGGACTCAAGAATTTGTTAATGGTAAAAAAGTTTGTGGGCAACAACCAGCATTGATTTAGTGAAAAAAAAATGTTCCCTCTTTAAATGATACCACAAATGTCCATAAAAGTCCTCCACCAATGTGCCATGATCTTAATGCTTTCTTGCAACTTCTTAAAAATCCCATCCAGGTGGCACATGCATCCACCCTGTGCTCCTCACATGCTCACCTTCTTTTATTGACCCTAATGATATATTAAGGTCATAGCACCATTAGGCATCTGCTCTCCTTCTGGATTTTTCAAATAAGGTTTATTGATGTAGACGAAATTGTATGTACATGGATAAAAAATTGGTTACAGATATGAGTCCAGAGAATAGTGATGCTATGCTCATTCTCTAAATGAACACGGTCTTGATGCTGAAGGTGGAATTAGGAGTGTAATTTCAATATTTACTGAGGATACCAAATTATGCAGGGAAATAAATTTGCCACAAGATGTATCATTGTTACAGGAAGAACAAGATGTGGGGGGCAGCTACATGGCAGATGAAGTTCATATTGAAAAATGTAATCCACTTGAGTACCAGAAATACTGTTAGCATATAACATACCCTTTGGGAAAGCCTTCTCTGGGTAAATCTGTGATGGAAAGGATCTGTAGGATCATTTAGATGATAATCTTATCAACAACATGTAATATCAATCTACAGCTAACAAACCAAGCAAAATAATTTCTTGTATTAAAATTGGAATATAATCAAGAGATAAATACATAATTATACAGTTCACTTTTGGTCACCAATCCACAGAAAGAATGACACTGAACTAGAAAAGGTTTAGAGAAGGGTAATCTTTGTAATCAATTAGAGAAGAGGTGCTTGGGGGGGATATTATCACAATGTATACATTGTACACAATGAAGAAAGCATGTGGCCACAATTTAAGATTGCACCAAAAATAGGTTTAATTTTAAATGAAGAAAGGAATTCTTTACTGTAAGAGCAATGAAAATATGGAACTCTTCTCCCCCGGAGCTTATATTAACTGAGAGTGTTGATAAAATTCATTGTAAAAAGATAACATTTAGATACAATATATTCCCAAAAATATTGGGAAACCCCTGCAAATCATTGGATTCAGATGTTCCAATCACCTCCATGGCCACAGGTGTATAAAATCAAGCACGTAGGCATGCAGAGTGCTTCTACAAACATTTGTGAAAGAATGGGTCACTCTCAGGAGCTCAGTGAATTTAAGTGTGTTACTGTGATAGGTTGCCACCTGTGCAATAAGTCCATCTGAGAAATTTCCTTGCTATTAAACATTCCACGATCAACTGTTAGTGGTATGATAACAAAGTGGAAACAGCTGGGAACAACAGCAACTCAGCCACGAAGTGGTGTGCCACATAAAATGACAGAGCGGGGTCAGCGCATGCTGAAGCGCACAGTGAGCAGAAGTCTCCAACTGTCTGCAGAGTCAATAGCTAAAGACCTCCAAACTTCATGTGGCCTTTAGATTAGCACAACAGTAGTGCATAGAGAGCTTCATGGAATGGGTTTCCATGGCCGAGCAGCTGCATCCAAGCTTTACATCACCAAGTGCAATGCAAAGCGTCGGATGCAGTGGTATAAAGCACGCCACCACTGGATGTGTAGAGCAGTGGAGACGTGCTCTCTGAATCATGCTTCTCTGTCTGGCAATCCAATAGACTGAGTTTGGCGGTTGCCAGAAAAACTGTACTTGCCTGACTGCATTGTGCCAAGTGTAAAGTTTGGTGAAGGGGGGATTATGGTGTGGGGTTGTTTTTCATGGGTTGGGCTTGGCCCATTAGGTCCAGTGAAGGGAGCTCTTCAGGCATCAGCATACCAAGACATTTTGGACAATTTCATGATCCCAACTTTGTGGTAACAGTTTGGGGATGGCCCCTTCCTGTTCCAACATGACTGCACACCAGTGCACAAACCAAGGCCCATAAAGACATGGATGAGCGAGTTTGGAGTGGAGGAACGTGACTGGCCTGCACAGAGTCCTGAACTCAAACTGATAGAACAATTTTGGGATGAATTAGTGCGGAGACTGCAAGCCAGGCCTTCTCGTCCAACATCAGTGCCTGATGTCACAAATGCACTTCTGGAATAATTTCTCATATTTTCCCATAGACACACTCCTAAACCTTGTGGTCAGCCTTCCCTGAAGAGCTGAAGCTGTTACAGCTGCAAAGGGTGGACCAACTGAATACTGAACCCTACAAACTAAGACTAGGATCCCATTAGAGTTCATGTACGTGTAAAATCAGGCGTCCCAATACTTTTGGCAATATAGTGTATCTTCTTCAGTTAGCATAATATACAGAGCTTTGGGAAGTCTTACATTTGACAGAAGTAAAACTTTCCAACAGAAGTTGAATTTGATAGGTCTTTGTATTTTTTCAACTTTATCAGTAAATAACTTTGTCTCCTGTTTCTCAAATTACAATGTGCTAAATCTTTTACAAGAAGAACAGTTTACATAGTATCTAATATTATAGGGTAAATCACGCCATCAATCCTATAAAAATATAATTATACCACACATATTCATATTTTCCACTCTCTATTTACAAATATCTTGATGCATAAAAAATTCTCCAAATCATTCATATAAAATGACAGCCTGATTAGCGCAATCAACATACGGGCTTGATTGTCTAATCATTGTAGATTAAGAATTAGAGAAATCAACGGCAAACAATTATGCTGTATAAGCTTTGAGAACATGTAATGCACACACAGAAGCACAGTGGTGAGCATGGGGATTCATCAGCTGTCAGAGAACTCATAGAGAGTGAGGACCCTTAAAGAGTGAGAGCTTCCTGATGCATTGCACTCTTCCCTCCTGTGTTTTTGATTGTCTTAATGCATTCACAAATCTTTCAGCTACATGAGCTTTGGGATTGCACACTTAGATTATAATACATCTTTCATTGCTCCATCGAGAATTCACTATCAATGAAAAACATTATTTCTAATGTTCTCATCTTTTATTTAATAAGTGCAGGCCAGATGAATCTGTTTTGCTGTGCAGTTGATAAACATTTGAGCTTTTAACTATTACTGAAAATTCAGAAGATAGTGATTTTTAAGGTACAAATATATTAAATGGCAATACAAGATTTAATATGACCTAAATGACCTAATTCAGAAAACAAAGATCAACGAACCAACCAATTTCAGATCTCACAATTTCAGATATGTGAGATCGATTTCTCATATGTGTTTGATATGAAGACAGATCTATGTATATGGTACCGGTGACTGTGCCTGGTATTGCAGGGAAACTTTGCTTTATGGTAAGTTTTCATCACAACCTTCTAAGTGTTTAAGAAAGCCTGATGGCACAGGCAATGGGGGAGAACTCGGTGTCAAAAAAGGGCAAGGGTCGCTAGGAACTGCCAAGGGGGACATGACCAATACATAAAAAAATAAACACAGTTCAGTAGGAGAGGGTCTTTTAAAAAGGCTTAAAGGGCAACATAAAAAAAATACAAATATTTTAAATATTATGCTTGGGAATGCCTTAAAGTGGTTCTAAAGCCAAAACAAGCTTTTTTTTAACCTTAATACATTCACTGCATTAAGGCAAAAAAACAAAAAACAAAACATTTTATCACTCTCTGTCCTCTATTCTGTGTGTGAAGGGGAAGAGATGGGATTGAGTACTGTGCACAGCTGTATCTCGTTTCTCCTTTCTTCCTCTTCACACAGGACTTGAGCAGGAACCATTAGCTCCTGCTGCTGTGAATCAAATGCAGTATGTCTATGGCGCATGGCTCCATAGACACATACAGCTCAAGAGTGAGCATGCACTGTGTGCTCCCATAGCAAGTGGCTTGCTATGGGGGCACACGAAGAAGAGGAAGAGCCAAGATCCCCAGAGACAGACATGAGAAGAGGAGGTTTGGGACTGCTCTGTGCATAACCATTGCACAGAGCAGGGGAGTATAACATGTTTAATATTTTAATAACAAAAAAAAAAGCATTCAGCATCACTTTAAACTTGTATGTAAAGTTGCAGATGCAGTATGAAGTACTCCTTTAAAAGTGACATGGGGGCGCATGCGCGGCCGGCTCCGGGATGGACGCGCTGTGACAACAGATCCGTCCACCCGCCAGCACTGACGCGGCTCACTCTCCGACCCCAGGGGAAACCGAGTGCTCAAGTACACAGATAAGGGTCACGGGACCCCCTGCAGACAATGGCCCGCCGCCGTAAAGCTTCAGGACAGCCAGGGAAGCTCACCAACTTCTTCCCTGCTGTCACCTCATGCAGCCAAGATGGCGCTGGCTGCATGACAAGCAGCCTCATCTCCTATGAGGGAGACAACGCCGCACAGCACCTAGATTCCAGACTCAAAGCACCACTATACCCAGGAGACCCGGGTGAGTCCTCTCCTCCCCTGTCTCCCACCACCAGCAGCTCTGCCAAATCAAGGCCCAAACTAGATACTGACTCCATTCCTGACAGACAGCCTTCCTTTCCACAAATGCTGCCTACAAATCTTACTCCATCTTTAATTGAATCTTTCCCTGCTTCTGACCAACCTATTACTGAAATCTCCATGAAAAACATGCTTCTTTCTCTGCGACAAACACTCCACAATGATTTGACAGCATCACTATCCCAAATCTCAAATGTGGTAACAAAAACAAGAATACCGCATACGCCATATTGAGAACAAAATGGGAGAAATGTTCACAGCGCATAATGACCTGATTGACGCACACGCAGACCATGCAGATGATATTGAGCAAATAAACCTTAAACTGGCGGACCTAGAAGACCGTTCCAGGCGCAATAACATAAAATTTAGAGGTATCCCTGAATCCATCACCAACGATAACATAGTGCCATATATCCAACAATATATGAAATACCTCATTCCTTCATGCACAGATACGGAGCTCGCCATAGACCGAGCGCACAGAATACCCAAACCGGCATTCCTGCCAGCCACAATTCCCAGGGATATTTTGGCGCGCATACATTTTTACCACGTAAAAAACAAAAATTACTGTCAAACATCACGGTAAGATCTACACCATCAAAAATCGAGAAGCAGGCATCGACCTCCTGAAAGCATGGAACATAATACCTGTGGATCCCCACCAATCCACCTCCACCAATACACAGCAAATGGATGCAGAGTGGCCCTGATCCACCACCTCCTCACACCACTAAATACCCACCATCTTGGACACTGCCCCTTACTGCACTAATTGCTGGCAAATGGCCTTATATCGAATATTTTTAAGCCGAAAGTTACTTCTCAGCATGACCTCTCTTACGGTCATACTTGTTCATACCCCCCTGTTACGAAGTAGCAAGATACGCTACTCATATTACTTGTATTTTTCGCGGGTTTTTTTTACCCTTTTTACCCTCTCTACCCTTCTCCCATTCCTGCACCACCAGTCTACCGACTCGATCCACCTCTCAACTAAATCCTTCAACACAAGAGGAAAAACAACGTCAGATCCAGCAACCAAATCAATACTATACCATCATACATATGGAAGACCTCCACCTACGACCACAGAAAACTTGCCTTCCTCAACAAATTAAAAAAACAACTCTCCTACTCATCAAATACAGTCAACAATCAACACAATGATTACTATATCATCTCTAAATGTTTGTGGCCTCAACTCCCTCTTCAAGAGGTCCCTACTCCTGAAAGAAACTCGCTCACTACACGCCGACGTACTTTTCCTACAGGAAGCACACTTCGCATCAACCAAAGCTCCTAAATTCCATATGCAACACTTCTGCCATGTATACATGGCTACGAATCCCCCAAAAAATGGTGTCATTACAGCCATAAAGGACTCCCTCCAATTCCACCACATCTCAGAAACAGCAGACCCTCAAGGTCGCTATCATATCTTGATCTGCAGGATCAACTAAATTCTATATACCCTGATCAATGTCTACGACCCTAATACCAACCAACCCTAATTCTACACCAAACTACAAGCAATCATCTCCTCCAAAAACAAGGCAGACTTCTCATTGGCGGAGATTTCAACATCACTGGCAACCCACTTCTGGACTCTTCCTCCAACAAACGCTCCTCCAAACATAACTTGAACCAATTTTTACATAACAACGATCTCTACGACATCTGGCACTGGCACTGCCAAAACAGCACAGAAAAAGATTACACCTACTACTTCCCATCCCACCTATCCTACTCCAGAATTTACTTCTTCGTCACAGACAAATGGACCCTACAACATATAACCTCCTCAAAAATTGGCACCATAACATGGTCAGACCACGCTCCAATCAACATTACCCTCGACAACAAGCAACACTCTTCGATCCCTCGAATTTGACTGAACTCGTCAATACTGAAAAACCCAGATGACACAAAACGCATATTGGATGCGCACAACATGTTTTTTGAACTTAAAGACACACCGATATCTCTATACCTACATTATGGTCCACTTACAAAGCATACATGAGAGGTATCCTCATACAATTAAATTCCCGAATCACCAAAGAACCCAACAAATTGACCAACT